GGTTTTGTTACAAGCAGTTTATTAAAAACTAGATACTTATTGTATTTGTTTTCGGTCTTCTATTTTAAGTTAATAAATCAAGATGCTCTTACGAGACGTTCTTGAATGAATTAATTAAGTCATGTAGATATTTTTGTGTTTGATAATTCAACTGTCAGTAGTATCATTTCTGGACAAAGAGAATATAATGCGTCATGCCAACATTATCTTGTCACCGATCCGAATATACTTGCTAACAAGGAATCCTCACTGAGACGTTTTGATGCTGTCAGTTTGAAGAAGTGCCTCCAAGACCACCTCATGACCTACAAGGGTTAACTGAACATAGTAAATATTGAACTTTACTGCTCTGGAATAGAGTTTACTTTGTTTTTTGGTACGTTACCAGGATAGCGGTGTTTCAAACGTGATAGATAGTCACTTGACGAATTCTTCTGGACTATCATTGCAAAACAGATTTCAATTTCAATCTTATTGCTTAAGGAATAAGATTACGATTTGAATAGTAGTAATGGTATGCAGTTGTGTCTTTTTAAAACAATATCATCAGTCATAAAGATGTCCGACGTCTTTGAGTCGAGAGACATATGAGTAGGAATTTGAATATATCGTGTTGGGACGCAATTTCACTATTTTTGACATATTTGACGTGAGAACCATGGCAGGCTGACACATCTCGACAGCTTGGTGTCTATTTTTTCCTGTCGTATAAACGTATTTGAATATTATTCTTTATTTATATAAGAAAAGATTCTTCTACAAGATAGTATGTTCAATTTCGCATGACCGCTTACATATTATAAGATAAGCTAAAACAATTAAAATAAAATGCCAGTTTCACACGAGGGCAAACCAGTTAATCAGAGAAATAGAACCGTGCATACCTTTTTGAGCCTACTGTTTGCTGTTAAAAGATTATTGGTCTTTGGCAAGTGCTACTAGTAGCACTCAGTCAGAATTCCTCCCTCGTGTGAAAGTACCATAAGGTCGAATAGAAAACACGGTCGGGCGCCATGTCTCCCGTCACTTATTTACCGAAAACATTGATGACATTTTGATGGGAGTACGAGCATTTGCTTTACACTTATTACTTCACAGCGGGTAATGCCGACTTGTTTCTATTACTGATATTTAATATTAAACTGGATGTGGCAAGATCATTTTTTTATGATGACATTTGCCGTCCTTTCATTCCTCTGACACATTTTTTAGTCAGGGACATGGGTGCGGGTGTATTTTTATTACATATTTTTACAATATTCAAACCCAAATTTACATTCAAATCACAGATATATGACAAATTTATAAACCTACTTTTAAAACGGTAAAATTGAAATAAATCTTGACTAGAACATAAATAGCACACACACAATTTAAAACACTTGTTTCTTTATAAAATAATTTGCAATTTTCTGAGATCAACTTAGAAAAGAGAAAACTGCAGAAATCGCGACTTTTGTGTTGTAAACTCGAACACTTATTTATTTTTATAACCAGCATTTAAAATATATAATTTTTATATGTGTTTATAAATATTTTTACATTCATTTTTCAATCATAAATACAATGTCTATCCGCTATAGTAAAACATTCTGTGCAGTTTTGATAAGATTGAAATTCGTGTCATATCTATTAATTACTAATCATTGTAACGTCGAACTCAATATAAATAGGCAAAAAAACGACGTCCATTGCGCCTCCGATCGCACCGATAATTTTTCAACACACCATCTACTTATTACGATCATAGGCAGAGCATTAACTAACTCTGTCTTACAATCGTGACAAAACAGGAACAATGTAAAGTGTACTCTATCACAACTGTATAAGGTTAATAACACAGTAACGACAAGCAAAAATTTCTTAGTTCTCCGTTTAGTAAAATTGAATTTTATTGCCTTTTCTTAAAGTTCAAATTTGTATATACGATTAGTAATGGTGCTAGTATTTCAGCTAGACATCGGTCAAAGAATCGTGATCAGCCCGTCCCCGGCACCTGACGTCCACTTGTATTTAATGTAACCTCAATGCATCGTACAAAAACACGAGTTTCAACATTTCGAGACTGCCACAAATACCCATTTCCTATCCAAGATTGGTAAATTAACTGTCATATTTTGTTACCAGGTGTACAATAGTAACTGATTGTCAGCCAACCCTGCAGTCTATTACCTAGCTTAAATACTAGCTTGCAAGAAACTGATCGAAATTTCCCAGTTCAATAAACAACCTTTTCTTTCTTGATACAATTTAAATTAATGATAACAGCAAACAGAAAAGAATACGTTTTAGGTAAGTAGCATATTTGAAAATAACAATCTTTATGAGATTAAGATTCAACGAGAAAGTTAGATTTAATTATAATATAACGTATCGGCGCAATTGCACAGTTTAATACTTTTTTTATTGAAAGTTTTAGTAGATATTTGTTAATTTACTAACATTTCGTTTAACCATTTACCAACTAAGCTCTAGGCTTGTGCTATCACGACAATAGTCAATGGCGGGATTTGATCTCGACCACAAGACCGGTAGTCCGTACCCGAAACCATGAGGCTATTGGTGACTTCTTTAATCAGAAAGAGAAATCATTACAACAATTAAATAAGCTTAGAATCAATGTGATTAACAACTTTTAGTCAACATCTAAACAAGTTTGAGTAATATAAAGTATTTAGTAACTTATATGTAACATAGAGATGTTTTAAGAAAAATATAGTTCCATCTATAAAACCATTGTCCACACATCCAAAGAAATCTCCCACGAGCACGTAATGGCACCCATCTGCAAACTGGACATTCGATATATCTAAATCAAGCAAATATAACCCATAAACAGTAGTATTTAAAGGTTAAAGTTCTATATATGTGCAGTCATTCAGTACACTACATTTTTCTTTCATAGCGCACAGCTCGCTCGTGACTACCCTGACAGCTACTTTTTACCTTCCCCCTGTTCGTTTTGCGTGCATTGCTCTCTTTGTCTACTCTTATTTACGTCCCGACTCCACATTCGCGATCATGAGACCCGCGTAATGACCTACGATAAGTTGCACCGCAGATGCGCAAATAGGTAAAATGTTATGCTTATAGCTCATGGTACATGTATTGATTATAAAAAATAGTACTTAGATAAAGCTTTTTGTAGCCAAATTGATCTATGGTATAGTAATCACAATAAACTCTAATGACGTATTAAAACAGAGATTTTTTGACTGATAGGAGGATTGCGTAAAGGACGTAAAGCATCGTCAAAAAAATCCAGTTTCTAATCTCTAGTGTAATCTAAGTTTGAAAAGATAAAACAAAATGTATTATGCACAGAAGTAGTAAAATTTGGCGTAGGCATAAAGCTGAAACGATTCTGGTAAAAGCTTAATCTATGGCAATAATAAGCCCTTGTCTCTGGTCCACGATGCGGAATGCCATGGGAACGGGTGCGTTGAGACGCGGCGCTAGTGTAGTACGTGTCACGAAATTATTAACCCTACGACTCACTATTACCTTATTAAGTCGAACGCAGCCTCTGTTTAGTAAAGGAATGTTAAACGCTGTTGGAAAAAATTAGCTACAATATGGAGATTGCACTATTTTAAATTATCAGTTGCAGAATAAATGATTTTGTTCGAAACTACTTTTATATTTTTAATTTGTGGTAGAAACAATTGAAGGTAGCAATTGATGCTTAATTTTAGTGCGTGCGAGATACATTTTATTTGAGTGGCATGCGATGCACCGACGTATGATTACATTGATTTTCAGAACCTAAGTAGTTTAAGTTATAATATATGGGAGTTGCTTCGCGATGATTCGATTAGGTCACGTGGGGGGGGGAGGCATTAATATACATATTTGAAGTATCTATTTCACATCTTTCAAACCTCTGTTACACATGATTACACGATTTTTTTTGCGTAAAGCAATTATAAACGTCACAGGGACAATTTTATTTTTACATTAATGCATTATTTGTTTGTGTCTCAAAAGGAAGGAAAGAATGGCAGAGGAGTCAAATAGCTTAATGGAATATTCGTATTTTTATAATAAATGTATATGACAATAAGGCAATACTTTTACTAAAGAGTAGACTACCTTTCGCCCTACTCCATCCGTGTGTAGAACAAACAAAAGTCAGTAGCCTATGTATTCTTCCAGACTATGCTCTACATCCATGGCAAATTTCACGATCCGTTTAGCAGTTTAGGCGGCAAAATTCCAACAAATATCCATTCATCTAAACTTTCGCATTTGTAGTATTAGTAACAAATCAGATTGAATTATGGACTTATTCAGTACATAAGGGAAAAATGCGGGTGTTTGTAAAAAAGTATTACCTTAAATATTTATAGGGATTATGTTCGAGTGTATACAACTAGCAAGTGACAGAGAACAGTGACAAGGCTCAGGGTGAGTGAGGAAGTGCAGCGCAGGGACAGCGGCACGTGAAAGTGATTAGTGCACAGGGCCCGCCTTGTCGCACACAACGAACCCTTGTGTGCAATGGTAGGACCGGGCTAAATGATACATTTTCATATGAGCATTTTTTTTATTAGAAATTTATAACGCAATTGATATACCGCGTATTTTGAATAATATTGCCTTTTATGCTATCTTAAGATATAGTAATATTAAAAACAATTTATGGCCACAGACCTAAAAAATTTTTTTTTTTATGTCTTATATTAATTTTACTTTAAGAATATGGTCATTTTTTAAAAGCTACTTTAACTAAATTGTAAAATTTTAATAGCTGATTGTTTAAATACCTTTATTTTTCATTTCGATACTAACGATTGCTCGGGTCTTTATCTGCGCGGATATTAAATTGTCAAAAATATAGCCTATGTTACTCACTGATATCGTAGCTAATTATTATTGAAAGATTTTTTAAAATAATCCCAGTAGGTTTTGAGTTACTTCTATACATACAAAAATACAAATCTTTCCTCTTTGTAGTATTAATAAGTTTTTCGATTTAAACTTTAAAATTATTAGCTTACCATTTGGGCCGAACATCCTCAGAGCGGGCGGCGATGTCGCGTGCGATCGAATTTCACCTCAACAACGAACCCTTTGTACATCACACCAGAGCTAAGAACAAAAAGAAATAAACACAATGTGTTAGCGGCACTTCGCGATGCAATTCCAACAGGCACCGACGTCTAATTAAATAGACCAGTATACGAGACCTCTGTTTAATTGTGAATTACTGTTGAATGATCGCGTTGTCTGCACAACGGAGGGTCTTGTTACCCTGGTCGGTGCGGAGTGCCAAATTTTGTGAAACCTCCGGTAATTGCAAGACAATGCGATGCGAGTCATGAACGTTTGGCGCGGTATTGTGAAGGGACACAACGAGGTCAGAAGAGTCATTCCGATTAGACAAGTGGTACGAGTTAGTTCGCACTTCTTACGAGATGTGTAACCGCTTTTGTTGAGTCATGGACTATCACAGTCGCTTCTGTTTTCTGACCGTTTATTATTGACACTTGTAAAAAGGATTCAGTCAATCTACACTAATGTAATAAATCATAGTATAATTGCTTAGACTATATGTTTTCCCACTATTAAATTTAGTGAGTAAATTACTTAGAAATAACGGGAAAGTAACAAAAAGTACTAGCTGACAACATCAAGGAAGGTTGCCATGGTAACGCTAAATGTTATCCAATGTCAAAGGTCTTCGTTGTCATTTGTGCATTTGAATATTAACATTTTCAATTGAGAATTTCACATTCAAACAATAAAGTCTTTACAATTTTATGCGGTTGAAGCCGCACGGGAACAATTTGTCTCTAAAGTGACTTTTATTTTAATTTTATTTCCAACATGAAACAGTCATGTTGAAATTTCAAACGTAATAACGATCGATATTTGTATACTTTTACACAGACACAGTAATAGCCCAATTAAATACATCTAATTGGACAAACAAGCAGGAAACCGATTTATATAAAAGTTTGTGCAAACCACTCGTATCGATATGCGATTGTGTAATTATCTCGACAAAAACCGACAATTTCACGAACAACCCTCGAGGTGAAAAAAGATTAACAAAAAGCCTGCACGAATGAAGCGTGAAATATGGCTGACGTAAAAAAAACGGCACTGCGCAAGTGAACAACCCTATTCAATACCATCATAAAAATATGATTGACATATTCCTTAATATGACATCTTTTCGAGCGGTGATATTTTTTTGTCTCCCAACCCGTGTGTAGCAATCCTAACTTTACTCACCTTCAATCAAAATTAAACCTTAATGCAAAGACATACGATTGAATTTTCTGTTTCATGTTATTGCGTTCAAGGTTTAAAATCATTGATGTAATTCAGAAAGGAGATATTAATAGCGTAATCCAATTACTTGTTCTTTGTCATATTTCGGATGTGGATTATGTTTCTATAGATCCTCCATTTTCTATGTCTATGTACGAACGATAGCTATTGAAGTTCTTTGTCCCTTTATGGCTATCGTAATGACACACACACAAACACCGCCTTTTACCTTTAGTAATACATGTTTTTTTCTTTATTTATTCTATTTCTTAAATCAACTAAACATCTAGGGATATACGAAAAAAAGTTTACTTGAAGAAAATGCTTCTGGAATCGACTGGAATAATAATCTTGTTTGAAGTAGAAATATCAATAGCAATACTTTTTAAAGTTTGAATTCAATGTAAGAACTTTTCACACACATTTACAATCCTAATAATTATTATAACAAAAATAGTAATAAACACAGACAATGTTACACAGTAACACTGTAACTTTCGATGAAAGAATTTTTAAAATCTACCTAATAATTTTCTAAATTAATCCTTACATACAATAGCATTATTTCCTTTTTATAACATTACTAGTTTTTGCCCGAGACACATTAAATTAACACGACATGTTAAAACTCTCGAAATAAAAAAAAGAAAACTAAATACGTAACCTATGTGTTTTTCCAGACAAACTATAATCTGTGCAGAACATTTACATGGATTGAGCCGTTCCGGAGATATCATCTAACGGCTCCTTATTTTCACATTAATAAGTAAAAAGCTAAATATAGTATAAAGTATAGATATCATTATCAACAGTCCTCATCAAAATCGAACAAAGAAATTCGGTACAAACGTAATATAAACACGTCAGTCATCTGTCGTCACGTCGACAAAATTCTAAGAAATATCGGCGGTTCACAGCATAGATAAAACGTTCTGAGAACGACAGGACCGTGTCTCTATGTCTCTAGACTACAGGGTTATCAGCTGTCATAGTCATGTTAAAATTAGTCTACCCAGATATAATGTAAAGTTAGTACAATATAATTTAAAAGCTCATTACAAGCTTTTAAAGTGTATTATTGTTGTGCGATTCTTGAATTGTTAATAACACGGTTAATGTAGACCTAAATTATGTTTTATTTTATTCTATTAATCATAATAATCATACTAATATTATATGAGTTATTATTACATGTTGAGTCATCGGATTCCGCAGCCGGTGGTGCTCTATTTTTTATATAATATATTTTATTTTAATTTTTATATTCTTGTAAAATGTATTATATAGAGAGTAAGAAATAAAGATATATGGATCATACTAATATTATAAATGTGAAAGTTTAGATGGATGTATGGATGTTTGTTAGACTTTGTAGCCTAAACGGCTGAACGGATTTCAATGAAATTTGGTAGAGATGTAGAGGATAGCCTAGAAGAACACATAGGCTACTCACTTTTGTTTTTTTTTTAATTCCACGCGGACAGAGTCGCGGGCGAAAGCTAGAGATTCCATAAATAAATAAATAATATTGAAATATGTTTTGCTATCAAACCGGTCTTTACAATCTTAATTACGTAATAATTGTTTATCTGTAACTAGCTTTTGCTCGCGACATAGCCCGCGTAAATTTTTTCTATAAAAAAAACATATCCTATGTTACAGATAACGTAGCTTTTTAACTGTGAAAGGATTTTTGAAATTCGCCCAGTAGTTTTTGAGTTATTTCGATACATACAAAAACCCAAAAAGATAAATAATAAACTTATGGAAAATTCAATAACTTAATAAAACATAAATACAATAATTCTAATTTCTAGACTAAGTTTAAGTAAACTTATTCTTTTCCTAGCAGCTTTATGAATTAGTCTTTGCACTCGTGTTTCATATTTAAAAAGACAAAAAAAGCTTACAAAATAAACAACATAAAGTACAATGTGAAAAATTAATTAAAAAAATACTGAAGTAAAACATTCGATGTGAAGATTCCGAGATAATGTCATAACCGCCTTTTTCATTTCACACATTGTGATTAAAATTAATTAAATATATAATTGTCTTCTCTTATCCGCAATGATATAATTAGCTAATTGGTTACAGCAAAGTTTACGACGATCGGTCATCGCTAAAACAAAATCATAATTAGCTATAAATCCGAGCGTGGCGACCGTCGATCGATTCTCTCGATACAGTACGAGTATCGATTTTATTAGCATGTGTGTGTGGATACTCCCATGTGTGCGTTGCCACGGATAACAGATTGTGCAAGTGTGGGTACGTTCATGGATATCAGATTGCGCATGTATTGGTAACCTCACGGACAACAGATTTATTGTTAATGGTGTCCTGAACATAATTAAAATGGTTGATGTTTCGCCCTGCCCGGTGCAACCGTCCTCTCTCGCCCCTTACATAGAGTATTGAATCTTCAGAGTCATCGACAAAACGAAGCTTTGTAGGTTCATTAAAAAACAAGCTTTCAGTGTAATAACATAGAAATGTTAATAAGATGCCAATTTCAAAAAGTTATAATTATTTTTGAGAAAAATATAAATAATGTGAGAATTGTGATTAGATTTAATAAATACAATAATCTTAAATTAAGAAACTGAATGAAAAATAAATATTTAAGGTATTCCAGGACTATGTACAGTAAACTTTAATTTTTATAACACAAGAATACCAAGTAAAATTATGTAAGTGTAACCTCTGTCTTTCTTTACTCTGTGTCCATAGTGTTATAGATAAGTTGTAAGGATAAGGCGCTGGCCTCGTGCGATATGTTACCTGTGGCGCCATCTGCCGGCCACATGCAATAAACTATCCTATTGTTTTGTTACCATCATTACAATATTAAAAAATATTACTGGCAACCTATAATCATATCATAAAAACTTTTTGGTTAAACTCGACGAATTAAAAAAAATATGTTTATTACTTTGCTAGCTTTTGCCTACGTCTCCGTCCACGCGCAATTATAAAAATATTTGCTAGGTAGCCTATGTGATCTTCCAGACTACTCAATATCTATTGTAAATTCTATACACATAAGAGAAAGAGGCCTCCTCATAACTTCTTCGTATATAAGCTTTGTACTTAAGTGCAAATTTAAATTTGTTTGAGCTTTTATTACCTCCTTAAGGTATTCTGTGACTTGTTCATGAAAATACTGCCCACTTCTTTCTTCTACCTTGTTAGTAACAATTTAAGAAACGTTAAAGTTAATTGGTCTTTAATTTGAAATATCTTATTAGAACATAACCTTTTGCTTGCCGCCTAAACTGACCAAAACATTGTCAACTTCTCAGAAAAACTAATGACGCTTAAGGGGCAAGGGATGCGAGGGGTTACCTCATCTCGATTAATCAAAACTCCACGTCGCCGAAGTTAATTATTAGACACGAGTTTATTTAATTTATTTCAACGTCCAATACGTTATGGGACGTACCGAAATATCGGTTGGTACCACGCCCCGCCATTACGTACCAGGAGAACCGACCGCTAGGGTTGTCACAAACTCTGATACACATCTAATCAATTTATTATATATTAGGTGTTGCTCGCGACTTCGCCTGCGTAAAATTAAATATAGCCTATGATACTCACAGATTAAGTACCTTTCTAACTATGAAAGAATTTGAAAAAAAATTGAAAATCGGCAAAGTAGTTTTTGAATTATTTCAATACATACAAAAATACAAATCTTTCCTCTTTATAATATTAATATAGATAAGTATTATTTGGAACTAGTTCGAATAGAAATCATATTAAATATCGCTTTTTTTGTTACTCCACAAGCCTTAATTCATAATTAAATTTTATTATTTAAAGATAGGAAATTAATATGTAATGCAAACAAAATACAATCATTCTGAAGGTATAACGTTGGTTTAACTACGATAGTTATGTCAATTCTGAATTAAGTCTGGAATAACTTTATTGCAGTGGACATTATTAATTTCTTCTCGGTTGACAACCCTGTGTAGTGGGAGACGGGTCGTTTGCTAGTCGTATATCATGCAGAGAAGATTACCACGGCACTTATTACGCGTTTAAACAAAAGCAAAGGTTAAATCTCGAGGTCGCTTCGCCGAGACTTGCGTACCCGTGTTCGATTTTACTTTACAACGGTCAACGTTAACGAAATATAAAAACGTATCATAGTTTATGCATATTACTTATGACGTTAAATATTAAATGCCGAAGGTGTCATATAAACCAAG